CAGGCTCTAGCCAAAGGTGGTGGAGAGAACAGGTTGTGCCATTTTGAGCAGACTGCAAACACCAGCCAAGGCTGCAGCAGGACAGTCTCCAAATGGCCACAATTAAGACAAAACTTGTACAGAAAGAGAGAGAGAGAGACATGAGATATGTAGCAATACGATCTCATGAACTTTAAGAGAAGCATAAGTATGGAGCGAGAAAGGATAAATACAAGGTAAGTTGATTCCAGGCCTAGGAACAGCGGACTCTGGACTTTGGCAGGTAATCTCCAGGGCTCAAACGGTCAGCCAACACTGAAGACGAAAGGGAACAGGACATCAAATTCTATAGCGCATGATAAGCCAGGCCTTCTGACAGGTCCAATTATAGCCAACCACCACTAAGGCCTACGTGCTGAGTGCTAACATCTTCAGCATGTCAGCTTGAAGGAATTATCTCTTCCCCTTTCTCTAGGCAGACTTCTGAGTTCTCGATTGAATACTTCTGTCTCTGATTCTCTTGCTCATTTGTTAAAGGCGTTCGTCATGAAATGTCAAATCTACGCCGATAAGCAGCAAAGATCCACCGTATCATCCAGACAGAATTTTAGAACTCTTGTATTTCCCTTCTGTTGCTTTATCTTCCAGTCAGGTTCATGTATTCTGACTTTTTAGAAAGTTCCAATGGTTTTCCATGTCCAATTTTATATTCATGGTCTACAAATGCTTACTCAAATGAACAATGAAGTTTTCCATTAAGGTATAGAGGATATAAAAAACAAATTAAGGGGCTGGGAAGGTGGCTCAGTGGTAGAGTGCTTGCCTAGCATGCAAGAGGCCATGGGTTCGATTCCTCAGCACCACATAAACAGAAAAAGCCAGCAGTGGCACTGTGGCTCAAGTGATAGAGCACTAGCCTTGAGCTGAAGAGCTGAGGGACAGCGCCCAGGCCCAGAGTTCAGGTCCTACAACTGGGAGAAAAAAAAAAAATCTGCAACCAGCCTGAGTTGTGAAAAATGTGGCAAAGGTTTGTTACCTGCTGTGCGGTTGATTATGAACAAGAACATCTAATTCTAGAAATCTGAAAAATAATATTCCACACTACCTTTTTTTTCCTCAGCCACTGAGGCAGAAAAGCCTTTCTCAAGTGAAATTAAAGCACTTGCTAAAAAATGCTTTCTAGAAGGAGAAAAAGGAATATGGTCTACCTGGCAGACTCAGTTCCTTCCAGGTGACACTTGTGGCTGGAAATTGTCCTGGGGTATTATTGATGCGCAGCTATGGAACCCCACTGGGCTGAGGCCAAGAACAGAGACAAAGGAACACACTGAACCAAGTTCCCGCTGACAGCAGGCAGCACTCAAAGAAGACAGCGCACAACTGTGGGCTAGGCGACACTCAGGGAACACCTGGAAAGCGCTCCTCAGAGCCAGGACAGGTGTGGCCCTCAGGGCCAACGTGGCTTCAGATACAGCCTGGGATCGTGAGTGGTGACGCACCCACTCTGGGAGCTTCGAGATGCCAGCACACGAGCTCACGTGAATCTACTATTTCTGAACTAGGCTCATGTTAAATGCCATCTTGCCATCTGGCCATATCCTACCTTAGTGCACTGCTGCGATGCCATCGCCAATTGGCCATTATCTCCAACGCAGCAACCAAGCACTGGTTGCCCTTTGGGATGCTCATTCAGTCCTAAGGCTTTGATCTTGATTTACAATCTGTGACACCCAGTCTACCAGCCGCTGTCTTTAATTACGTTTTACAAGCTTCGTGTACTGGGGAGCTACATTCACAGAGACAATGCTGAACAAGCACACAAATATTTAAGACACCAGAGAGGCTGATTTTGTCAATTCCTAAGTTGTGGGCGGTAAAACTCCATGTCCAGCTGTGCCATTAACACTTAAATACAGACTCCCAAAGCTTCAGAGAATCACAGCTTAGGCTAGTAGGGCCATGGAGTCTTTGGTGCATGCTGGTGGGGGATGAGGGACAAGCCTGGCAGCATGAAAACAGTCATTTATTACATCACAGGCAAAAATGATGAATACATACGTACATGCATATATTCATATACATGTAAGCATACATATACAAATAAAGAGAAGATATGACATAGAAACCCTATTATGTGATTTGCACATACGTTCTATTGAGAAATCATTGTCCGGGATTTGTACGATTTCCATCCTTCCAGTGCACACAGCGGGACTTGTGGACAGTGTGTTACGGGGCTGGGTGCTGATAGCATATGCTTCCAGTGGTGAAGGTGAAGAAACAGCAGGTCTTCTTTGCTCAGAAGTCACTCATGGAAAACCGATGCTTGAAAGATGCTAGAATAAACTACAACAGTCTCTTGGGGAAATGGAGGCACACTTGGAATGAAGAAAGACGGAAGCTGGTGAGTTAGAACTTGACTCTGAATGGAAAATGAAGCTCTATGCCTCAGTTTCCCCACGGGTGCAGTGGGTGCCTGCATGGAGGCCGCCTAAGAGACTCGGTGTGAGCACAGTTCCTTAGCTGGTATTCCCAGAGGGACCCTGAGACACAGCACCTAGAAGGCCACTCACTTTTGTTCTAGAACAAGGGTCTATACAGTAACACATCACAACGAAGGCCTTCACCATGTGAAAACCCAAATAAACTCTGCACCATGAAGCCAACTTTGGAGCAAGGCATTCTGAACGGCCAGGGAGCAGCTGCCTCCCAAACGGAGCCGTGAGCACTGGGCCCCAAGCAAGCCATGACCCTGAAACAGCAACAGAGTTGGCTTCTGAAAGCCGCTGGTTCATCCCACTGGAGAGGCAGCGTCCGGGTGCAGGCACGCGGACAGCCCTCATTCCCACTGCCACTGGAGCATGTCTGCCTAACGCATCTGCGCCTCGGCCGTCCCTGCGCAGCTCCCCCTGGCTTGGGACATGGCTGTCCAGGAAAATGTGTGGTCCACGCCCAGCAGTGTGAACCATGCCTCCAACCCCTCCCAGAAGCTCTGTTAGGGCCATGACACCAGATGTACAGCCCACAGTCTGAGCATTATGATGGGGGGACCCTGAAGTCAAGTCCAAACCAGGGGGTGGGGGAGTGTCACGCCCCCCTCAGCCTACCCTTGCAGGAGACCAGAGCCTGCAAGGGCTGCAGCACATGCCCCTCAAGAACTGGTCCATAAACACCCAGACACCTCTGCTTCTAGGAGGGGGGGAAGGGGTGTTATTGTTGCTGATTTGTTTGTTTTTCTTATGTGCAAAAGAAGCCTATTAAAAACACTTTTCCAGCTCTTCAGAGTAATTCTAAATTGCCAATCACAAAACAGAAACGTCCTCGTTAGGAGAAAAAGGGAGAGAAGTAGGACTTGCTTTTGCAGCTGAGGATTTAACAGCCCAGAGAAAGCCTCTTCATCACATAAAGCAGCACAGCAGGAGGAAAGGGGAGAAGGAGAAGCCATGACTTGCCTGTTCCCCTGGCTGGGGCTGAATCTCTGGCCATGCCCTCCCATCTCCTGCTTACCCGCTTCACATCTCCAATGGTGTCTCCCAGGTGAAAACTTCACCATGGCTGCATCTGACTTGAGAACCAACAAGCCCTCAGACTCACCCTATGGGAGACCAAGCAAAAGGCCACCTATGTCCCTGCAGGCACAGAATGGAGCAAGGCCCAGGGGACACCCAAAGAGAGAGCTCTGCTGTTGTGACATGGTCCACAGAGACCATGTTACAAAGCCATCGGTGAAAGTAGATGGACACCCAAGGAGAAATACTACAGGCACAGCCGATAGAAATCCTAGCACCAAGTGCAAAGACTGGATGTGGGGAGCCTGGACACCTAGCACATTGCTAGTGAGAATGGAGAATGGCAGAGCGTGGGCTAGCAGTTTCTTAGAATACCGGACATGCGATTACCACGCAGGCCAGCCTTTGTACTCCTGAGCATTTACGCCACAGAGATTAAGATTTACATTCACTCAAAAACTGAGGCATAACGTGCATTGCAGCTTTGCTCATAATAGCTGCGGATAGCGAGGAACCCACATGATCCTCAACAGGAAAGCAATAAGGAATACTAGTCAACAAGGAAAAGGAACATAACCACCTAAGAAGCCCTCTAGGGAATTAACAGAATGGAAAAGGCTAACTCCAAAAAATTATAAATCGCTTACGTGAATTTATATTATTTTTGAGCATTTTAGAAACAGTGCAAAATTTAGTGGTGGCCAAGGATTAGTGCTGTTGGAGAGATAAAGCGAATATGGTTATAAATGGGCCAGGAGAGGGACAGCGTGGTGACAGAAATGCACTTAGCTTGACTGTAGTAGTAGTAGGTTCAAAATCATATGCACAGGATAGAATTGCACACAATTAAATACCAATTCTAGTGAATACGAGTCCACACGCTACCTGTAGCCATCCATCTGTCTTAATAGAGTGCAGTAATTCAGAGATCAAAGCCAGGTATATGGATCTCAACATTCTTCCCTACACATGCATGTGTATCCACAGTTATCTTCACAAAAACGTAACAAGAAGAAACTAGATCCAGAGAGATTTCTCCTAAAAAGTCCCACGTGACTGAGCAGTCTTGTGATCATGTGTGGTGCTTCTGGAAATTACAAAACCCAAAGTGCCAGAATATTAGCCAACAGTCTTCCCAGGGAGAAGCTAGGTGAAGCACGGGTTCAGTATTTCATCAGGATGGAGAAAATGCTCGTGATGTTTTTTAATCTAAACTATGCAAAATGCAAGTCCTTAGAAAGGGCTAGAGCAGAGCTGAGAATTTCCTCCGCTAATGAAAGACATCTGCTTAAAATGAGCCGGTATTGATGGAGAGCAGTTCCTCTCTTCCCTCACTGTGGCTAAAATAGCTGCCACCCCGGGACAGAGCCCGGCTCCTAGCATCAGAGCCACATGAGCCAGAAGGACATACACACACAGCCCTCTGAATGATGCAAGGCAGCAGCTCTTGGGGAAAGCCACCACCTTGGCCCCGAAGAAACACCTCTGTTCGCAGCTTCTCCCCACACTTACTTATTCTGCATCATGTTCATGATGACCCAGTCGAAAGGATAGACGTTCTTCCCAATGAGGTTCTTAAACATGATGAATGTCTCCATTAGAAAATCCTGAAATGAAAACACAACAAAAACACAACATTGAATCAGTCTGCCGGGAACAAGGGGAAAGCAACCCCTTGGAAGAAGGCATGAATGATGGCATAATAAAAGACCCCATTCTTTTTAGCTGAATGAGAACATTCTGAAAACTAATGAAGATGTATTTCAGGGGAGCTATGTATTCGTTCTGTCTTTCTGCTTATCGGTGTGCCTCTGGTCAGAGATGGCTTTGTTAAGGACATATTTTGAAATTGTCCTTCTGGAAAAGTATTTCTCTCTACAGTCAAATAAAGTAGATCCCCCGTGGGTTAAAAAGTATGCATTCCTTACCTTTTTGCTAAGAGGAAAACATGATTTTTGCAAAAATAACAGGAAGGTGATAGCTTCTTGAATTTATTCTACATTTACTGTTTTCACTATGAATAGCCCATGTTAAGTTAAATATGCGATCCTGTTCAATGATCCTTTCCTGATGGAGCTGAAAAAATACAGGCCTATGCATGGACTCCCCGTGCTGCAGAGCCGGTGAGCATGCCTTTGCAGGCCACGTGAGCGTGCAGCCACCGAGCTACCGCTTCTCTGCTGCAGCTTCATCTCAAGCCACTCAATGATGTTTCCAGTTTCATGCAGTGATTTCCACTTCTCAAGTAGAATGAAGGGTTTCCCCCTTGGCCGACCCTGCTTCTAGCCTGCTAAGAGAGCTCCTGGTGTTAGCAGGGACCAGTCGCCTGCCTTCTGTGCTAATAGAACCGGGAGAATTTCACATGCATGAGGGCTGGCTGCTTACTCCGTGCTGACTTGAACAAAGCAAGTTTATCCTAAGCCCCACAAGAATCCTATCAACCCCGGGGTGGGATGAGAGCCAGAGATTGCCACCAAGTCACAATTAGGTGCCGTGGCTGTGAAGGCCAAGGTAGCCAAGGGAATGTAAGCAGCCACCAAGCCTTTCCAGAGCAAGAGTCTCCACCAGCACTGGTGCACGAAGCACAAGCCACACAGAGACTTTCAGGCTTCTTTCTGCTTCTGGTTTGGTTCTGTGCTGGCACTAGGGCTTGAACTCAGGGCCTCAGTCTTGCTTGGCTTTTGGACTCAATGCTGACACTTGATCTCTTGAGCTATAGCTCAACTTCATCTTTTTGATGGGTTTCCTGCCTGGGCTAGACTTGAACCCCTACTGCAGACCTCAGCCTCCTAACTAGCTAGGACTACAGGCGTGAGCTACCGGTGCCTGGTGTGGTTATTGGTTATGTTGTCTTTGGTGACACAGCGTTCTGGGCTGGGTTAGGGATGGGGGCAGAGTTAGGCAGGAAAAATAGGGCTAGATGTCCTCCAAACTGTCCTTAATCCCGTGACTGCCAGAGTCAGGATCACCAGAATTCTCCCGTGCCCACCCTCTATCCCAACACACAAATGGCTCCTTATTACAGATTAATTATTAAAATTCCCACGTCACTACTCAGTTTCCCGCTTTTTCCAAGAGTCTCGTTTGATGATCAGGGTGTGTGCGTCCCCAGCAGAGTGCTACAATTTAGCTCTGTCTCTATTTGCATGGAATTGTTCACTTCTTTGCTGATGAGTTTTCCAGACTTAATAATTGGGATGCAGGGTCTGAATTTCATTATTCGGGGAGAGAAACATCTTTTCCCAGCTTCTTTTCTTTCTTTTCTAGGAGACGCAGTCTTGTACTTCATTAGCATGGCTCAGCTGTTAAATTTTGGGACTTTGCTGATCAAACAAAATGCTTCCCGGAGTGGGAGACGAGGCTCTGCAGGCATCCTTGTTGGTCTGCATAATTCAGCCGTCATGGTGGCCCTCAGAATTGATGGGGAGGCTTCACTGGCTGTCCAGGGAGATCTCCAAGTCCACAAGGGACGTTCTGGGAACATCCCCAGTCATCGCTGATTCATTCCTCTAGCATTGCTTAGCTCGGTTACTCACAGGATGTCCTGTAGAATAAATGCACGGCGCTGACTCCAGCCATCGGTGCATCCCACAGGCTACCTTGAGCGAACGCTCATGCTCATCTCCTCACACTGGAAGACTCTTAACCCAGCTATTATTGTCCTGGTTTGTCCCTGAACTTCACCAGCATGACGGTTCCCAGTACAGATCTGATCAAGGCAGTGACACTCCCCCAGTCGCGCTCAGAGACATGAGGCATCTTCAGGCCCGTTGCTATGGCAAAGGAACAACAGTCACCAACAAGGGCTGCCAGAGTTTTCCACCCATTCAATGAAGGGCCGGAGGAAGCTGTGTGTCTACCAATGTTGGGTTGAGTGGGTTGAACACTGCCAAGGAGAGGGGCATTTCTTTGCAATGGAAGCACCAGGAGGTTGCCACCTTTGGACCAAGTGGTCCAATGGGTTTGTGGGAGAGCATCAGCGTGCCACCCGAGCCTCCTGGCAGGAAATACCCAACCCATCTCTGAAACCCGTGGCTAACAAGCTGAGTGTGAATCTTGGGGCTCTATCATGGCTTTCAAGCCATGACAGAGGTAGTGGCGGTCAGGACAGGGAGGGAGGAAGGCTGGTTTTGGAAACACGTTGAAAGATGTTACAAAAGAACTGAAAAAAAAAATTCTGGGATGGGAGACAGCCTATCAATCTCTCAGCTCATCCTTTTCAAGATAAGTAGATAAATTAATAAATTAATAAGCAATGACATGAAGACAAGAAAAAAGCAAGATGGCAGGTTTAGTGTGGAAAAGAACACCAAGAGACACAAGGCGACAGGAAAATCCGGCCTGGATCCTGCCCAGGGGCCGGGGAAAGAGAGTGCCTGAGCCCAGCTGGTGTGAAGATGGCTCTGCTTCCTGAACCTTGAGACTACCAGACAGTTCCCTCGTTCTCTGGACAGAGACACAGGGAGACGCGGCCACGCGGCCCCCAGGCAGGTCTCTTGGCGGACAGCTCACGGTAGTGACACCCATCTGTGCTGTTCTGTACATTTAAAATGAATCATCACACATAGTTAGGGCAAAAACACATGCCCTGCTGAAGGAAGCCGAGTGAGGCCGGTGGCCCCCATGCACGGCGGGACACGGGCTGTGGTGGGAGACGGTACCGTGGGGAAAAGCTGGGCAAGGCGCACGGCACAGCGCTTCTACCGGCTGCATGAGACTCCACTGCGGTCTCCAAACAAGGAGTTCACTCAAAAATAAATGCTTTAAGGATAAATGTTAGAGAACTAGAGGAGGGAAACAGCAAATGGATTAAAAAAAAGAGCAAAGATCAAACTGGAACAGAGGTAGCCCTGGGTGTCAGGTGACTCGGGATCCCTTGGAGGCCTCCACAGGACCTCCTCCTCCCTGAGCACAGGGTCTTTGCATGGACACCTGTCTGCAGACCTTGTTCTTCTCTGCAGAGGTGGCTAACCATCCCCTGGCCCTGTCCGCCTGGTGGAGGGATGCTTTCAGAGCACAGGTGATTTCAACTGACTGACCGTCCCTGATTAACTGTGGCGTTCTCCTCTGGACCATGAATGAAGAAGTCACTGTGAAAGAATTCTGTGCCTCAGAACCACCATCCAGAGACCAGCCATCACCTTGTGTGTATCGACAGGAAGTAAGCTCCAGGGGCGGAGCCTGGTTCTCTCCCCACCCAGATGCTCATTCTTGGAGCAGTCAGGCCATCATCCTTCAGTGCCTGCCCACCATTCGGCCTGGTGCCTGTCCCCTGCATGCCCCTTGCCTGCCCTCTGTGTGCCTCAGTGCCTTGAAGACCCCTCCAGCTTCCTCTACAACAGGGCGTTTTGTAGCTGTGTCTCTCACCTTGCTAACATTCTTGCTTCCACAATGACCAGAGACATGCTTATCATTCCCAGCAACTCATGTGGGACACACAAAGTCAGAGGCCAGAATGGGAAGCACTTTGTCTCCTGGCCCGGCCAGAGCGAGGGGTTCCGGGAGGACAGGGCGGAAGCTGTGCGAGGAGGGGAAGGAATCCCAGCAAGCGCTCCTGTGCCAGGCTGAGGTGCAAAGGCACCTGGAGATCCAGCCACACAGATGCAGGTCAGCTCCAGCCGCCGGGCTGCGGGTGAGCGAGTCACGGCACCCGGGCCGACCTCTCTTGGTCTGTCCTCAGTCGCCCACTGGCCCTGGGTCGCTCCTCCTTCACTTAGTCACTCTACACACACACACAGTGCCGAAAAGCTCCCAAAGTATAATAGTAAGAAGCCTGTTGGTCTTTGCCCAGGATCTTGAAAAGGAGTCTTAACTCCCTGACAATTTCCCGAGTGACAGGAATTCACAATGAGCCACGTGTGTCCACAACCGAGCCATGTCAGTGCGGTGGAGGGCGAGGCTGCTCAGCGTGAGAGTAAGAAAGAGGAAGAAATTGAGGAAGAGAGGATGCTAGAACTTTCAGAAGAGACCGGAGGCACCTCTGGGCTACTGAACTGGTGGGGGTGCTGAGAGGTCAGAGGTCAAGAGAAGATACCCATGCCCCTGATCTACCTTGCCTTGTCACATGCTGCTTTTCCTTTAAGATTCCATCCAGCCTTGTAGCCTTAATAACAAACCAGCACACAGAAGCCCCTGGGTTCTGTGACTCACTGAGCCCAAGCTCACGGGTGCCCCTGATGCACTGTTGTGTTAAACAGGGTATAAGAGCACATGCTTGTAACGTATTGTCAGCACAGCTGGCCCCTGCCACCTGTGGGGTCTGAGGCTGACTTGAAGTAGGTGGTGTTGGAGGATGGCTCAGAACCGGAGGTCGTCAGCTGTGTTCTTCAGCCCGCCATGAGGTCGGGGGCAGCACTGGGAGAGAATGTACAACAGGCAGCCAGAGGACAGTGTTCTCTGGGAAGTCCTGAGCCCCCAGGTCCCTTCTGCGGGGCCACAAGGTTTCTGGGCCAGGTCCCTGCTTCCGCCCCTGATATGAGCCCAGGACCACAGCAGCCACGGGACAGTCGTATTTACAGTGCAGAAGAGTCTGGATCGGGGGTGACTCTGTCCTGAGGCGGGTAGGCAGACAGGCTGGCCTTCACAGGGAGGGGGTTGGCAGGGACTAGCTCAGCCTTTTTCCTTTCTGGATCAGTCTGTCCCCTGTGAGTATTCCCTCACCAGTGTAGAGTTAAAGGGCCATTTGAGAGGCTGCATAAGCAACAGCCCTGTGGCCCGTGACAATGTCGGTGTGATCTGTTCGGGAATGATTCCCTCATCATGGTGGTTTAGGCTCTTTTCCTATTGGAACACTAATTAACTTTCAGTTATTTCACACGAAATCATCTTTTTGTTTTTGTTTTTTGGTAGTTAGCAGAGTAGAAAAAAATGCTAAAAGACTCTCTACATATAGTTAATGGATAGGAACACATTTTACAAAGGTTCTGAAAGATTAACAACAATAAAAAAAAATGTTTACCACAGTTGCATCCTGAATTTGAGATATCCAAATCACAAAAGCCATTTTGCAACGGAAATCAAATTGTCTGCAAAGAATTGATTTTCTGAACTGCTGTGTCTATGAAAAAAAAAAAAAAGTCCCTGGGGAAATTAGGACACACTGTGGAGTAAGTATCTGATTCTCACTCTGTGCGAGGGAGAGGCCCATGCTTAGAATTTGGCAAAGTGCAGTCATTTTGAAACACCTCGCTGAATAACCACCTTTCACAAAACACTGAAGCTACCTTAGTGATGGCCAGTTTAACAGCACACATGAGATGTCTGTAACATGTGTTTGTGTTGCTTCTGACCAGGCGACTGCTCTGATATTGCACAAATTGTTAATGGGCATCCACAGTCTTCACTCTGCAAATTTTACCACCCAGCCTGGAATGCAGTTTTGACCTGTATTCTTTCCACTGACCAGACGTAGGGACATAATTGAGACATATTTTTGCTATTAAAAGCTACAAATATAAAACATGATTCTACTATGCCTTGATTTCAAACAAATCCTACCTTCTAATATAGCCAAAAAATTTGAGTAGGCCTTTACCATGAACTACACAGTAATGCTTAAGGAAAACTAAAAACTACAGATATACAAATAGGTACATATTCTTATTCTTGAACCCTGACTTTCAATTAAGGGAAAGTGCTGTGATTTTGATATATACATTTCTTTTTGTTCTTAGACTGACACACACACACACTCTCTCTCTCTTTCTCTCTCTCTCACTTTCTCTCTTACTCTTTCTCCATCCAGCCCTCTTGGCAACAATAAGGAAATTTGTCATAGAATCTTCTGAAAAAAAATCATTAAAAACGAATCTCTTCTTCCCATCCTTTAATAAGATAAAGGTTGGGGGGCGGCCTTTGGAGGGGATCGGTGGGTGTTACAGAGGGACCGTCAGGCCCTTAGGCCTGGCATGAGGACTCACGTCAGCTTCCCAGCAGGAGTTGTGCCAGCAGGTTTGGTGACAGCTCTGCAGAGGACACTGCCATATGGCAAAGTAATCTGAGGTCACCAGGGAGGAACCTCCGAAGCATTAAATCTCACCCCATTATAATTTTCTTAATTAAGCTGCATCATAGTTTTATCTTGGATGACTAGAGAGTTATCTGCAGAAATATGATGAGTATCAATGACTAGAGCTAATTAATAACAGTGTTTGGCCATGCTCTATGAACCAATAAAAACAGAAGCCACTAGCCAACCATGTGTGAGTGAGCCACAAGCACAGAACAGGACACCATGACCAGAACAGAGGAGATTCCTCTGGCGTAGACGCTAAGACATCCTCTAGGTCAGCATCAGCTACCCGTCAACAACTCAGAACCCTTATCCTATTAGACACATGCTTTGCCTACACTGAAATCAATCAGAGCAAGTGTTCACTTGAAAATCTACTAAAAATGGAAATGCTGTCATCTTCTGCTGCCCTTGCTGGCCCCACATACAAGTGCGTGAAGAGGAGTGCGGGACACTCACCACGACATCCGTCCTCATTTTCCCAAAAGTCTTGATCAAGTGAGCGTAGTGGTAATCCTCCATCTGGCGTAAAATAGCTGTCATGCAAGCGACAAAGTTGCCCTGCAAGTGGATGAAAAGACAGAATTAGATGGGCAAGAGAAGAATGCTCCTGGGAGAAGTCCACACCCAAGGGTCTGGCATTAAACAATCAGGGAGAGAGATCAGAGACCCCAGATGGAAGCCAAGCCTTACTCAAGGCCAACCAGCCAAAGTACCAGTCACTTGAACCTCTGGACATTTATTTTGGGGGAGAGGGTCACTCACGATTAGGAGAATATGATATTTCTTTCTCATAATTGCATTAAATGTTTCCTGAGATAAGGTTTTCCAATTTGGAAAAAAAAACTTAAAATTTTATTTCTTGTTAAAACTACATAAAAATTAATCTCAGACTTGTAACCCTGGTCAGTCATGTTCTATACTTTTTTTGGAAATGTGCAGCCAGGCCTTATTATCAGGCAAAATGTGTACACAGCCCCTCCTCTCGGGCCATGGCAAAGACAGGTCTTTTATTTCTCCAAATCTGCCTGTGTCCCTGTTGGCCAATTTAGAGGCAATCACCACCAACTCTACAGTGAGTTATGGTGCAATTCTCCTCCTCAGGAAGGGAGGAAGGGAGAGGTAGGCTCATCGAATGTCAAGTGGGAAAGAAAGGAATTCCTCATACAAGACATAGCTGGCTGGAAAGGAGAAGGAGCGGTAAGAAAGAGACCAATGAACAAATCAAGGCAGAAGAAAAGGAAATGCACCCAGCTGTTAGCAAACAGTGGTGTCTGGTCCATGTGGCTGTGGGCACACAAGTCCCCATGTGTGCCCTAACAGTTGTTGACTTCTTATTGTGTGTGATGAGCAGGGAGGAGGGAAGACTGCTGCTATGAATGGCAATTTCTTACTTCCAGGTGGGTGGTTGACATCATAGACACTTTTTGCCTCTTAAATATGAACTCCAAAGTTAATAATATTTTTAAAAACACAGGATATATATTTTATCCTTATGAAACCAGTAAAAGTCTGTTAGAATTAAAGGACGAGACACAGTTTGAGACACATCCCTATTTTTTCCCTAGTAAATGAGCTCCCAAATTGCATTCTTTTACTCACTCTACTTTTTCCAGCAATATATTTGAATGCCTAAATGACTTTTATATTAATTTGGAAGATAACACTCCACAGCGCAATGTTAATGTCCAATATTTTCTCCAATCCATTTTGTATCTATACTATCCATACACGCTTCCAAATGAGTCCTCCAAGGAGGCATTATATAAATTGAACAAATACAATAATGATGATATGGTATCTTCCATTTTCCCAGAAATGTAAATTATTTGTGAATGATGATAATTGCTGAGATTTTGATTCCATGTTGGTGGTATTTGGGGAAAGAACTAAATAATGCTTGTTTTGCATTGGAGAAACCATTAGTAAAGTGGTAAAAATGGCTATTTATGAATATGAACTTTTGAAAGTCATAAATATTTGGCATCTCATCAGGCTGTCTTCACATCTGGATGTCTCCTGAGCTGCCAATCCTTGCACTGTCATCTCCATGGTGTTCTTGTGTTAATCAAGCCCTTTCTTGGGGCCATGAGAACCACAGCTCCCTCAATCACAATTAACAGACTGGCTTCCAGACCGGGTTGCAAACAACATAACTGAGTCTCAAATTTCACCCTCTGAAGAACAAATGCTAAAGCTGGGCGAGCAACCTGCATTCCAGGGCTGTGAGGGAGGTACGTATCAGCTGACCTAATTTCTTTCCTCCTCATCCCAAGGCAGTTTTTAGTTCTTCCCGAAGTCTGAGGATTCGGCTGCTGACCACCACCGGGGAGAGGTGAATTGTTTCCCAGAGAACGATGGAAGAGGGAAAGGAAGAGAGAAACCTCCAGAGCAGTAGATCCAGATTCCTGAGCGATGAAGCCATCTGGGACTGTCTCCTTCCTGGGACATGAACTTTCTAGGAAGTCAGTCCTACATCTATCCAGGTACACTGAATAGAGTTCAAATGAATTCTGAAGGATAACAGAGCCCAGCTATGGAGATTCACATTTTACAACTGCTGAAAAAAGCAAGTCAATGAGTCAGTGAATTGGGGTCAGAAGCACTATACCAACATGCTCAACTTAAAATACCAAGTTGGAAAGCGAAAGCAAAGAAAGTCCTGAAGGGGTTCGGGCAGCCTAAGGGCAAGGGCTGAGAGTGACATCAGCGAGCATGCCTAGTCCGCCTCCAGTCAGGCCAGGGATCTGCACAGGGGCACAGACACACTCCACTTAGGTAACAGTGCCACCACCATGCTGAAGTTCCCCCGAGGTGAAGAACAAAGAGACTGAGCTGATGCCTACAGTGGAAACCACAAAGACAGCAAAACCCGCAAACTAGTCCTGGGAAAAGGTAAAGAGCCACTCAGAGTCTTCCCTCAGCATGGAAATGCCACCGAAAAGGCAGCCAAATGGCCCTGATTTAATGAAGATGGAGACTAATTAGAGCAGGCCCTGCCAGGCCAGGCCAGGGGCTTCTCCATGACTTAAGAGGAGCATCGCCCAGCAGCCTACACGCCCTCTTTACTTAACCTAAGGAAATGGGCCAAAAGCAATTTGTCCTGCGTGCGCAGTGTGTCCTTTCCTGGAGGAAGCCAGTCTTTTTTCTAAGTGGGAGCCTGGGAGTCCATGAGGACAGGAGTGGGTTACAAGTCAGTGCTCTTTCATGGAAATGCTGCCCCTTCCCTTGCTGCCCTGCAGGCTGGGGTCCCTTGCTTGGAGTGTCAGTTGTTTCACAGGGGAAAGCACAGTCAATACTGTAAAGTTTCAGTGTCCCCATGAAGATGGCACCCCACAAACTTCACTGTGCTTCCTAAGGGTAAGGTGCGCAGGCATTTATGGAAGTTGCATTAGGAACAGAGATGGAGGAGAACTGAAAACTTTAGTTCTGCACAGGTAGCTCACACCTATAATCCTTGCTACTCAGGAGGCTGAGATCTGAGGATCACAGTTCAAAACCAGCACAGGAAGGAAAGCCCATGAAACTCTTATCTCTAATTAACCACCATAAAGCTGGCAGTAGAGGTGTGGCAAGTGGTAGAGTGCTAGCCTTGAATGGAAAAATCTAAAGGACAATGCCCTGGCCATGAATTCAAACCCTAAGACCAGCATGTGTGCACATACACACACACAAACACTCACACACACATACCATTTAATCTATATTCTTTAACTGATTTTTTACGTGCATTTAGGAGTGGGTATACTCAGAGGTAGGCTGGGGCGGAGCCCAGCTATGGAGCAAAAAAAAAAAAAGGTAATTAACTTAATAAAAATAAATCCTCAATCTGTGACTTCAAAGCAATGCAAACTAAGGGCAGGGAAGTCAAGATATACTTGCAGGAAATTTCAAAACCAGGGCATTAACTGCTTGATAAACAAAAAAATGTGAACCTCATTAGTAATCAAGATGAAAATGATACATCATTATTTGCTGCCAAAATAGCAAAGAAGGATTTAAGTGACTCTGACGCGGAGAAGGGTACACGGAATGAGGACTCTTGCACACCGCTGGGGGATGAAAATTGCTCTAACCTTTTAAAAAGCCAGTTGTTGGCAGGTTTGAAAAGCTTTGGGGGGGGGAAATACTCATCTCCTTGGTAAGTTTACTTCTAAATAACCCACCTAAAGAGAAATCAAACTAGGAAATTTTATGTTCAAAGATGTCCACTGTACCACTAAAAATATCTAAGCATCCAGTGCAATAAATTGTATAAGTAATATGATGTTATGTGGGTTGCAGGGTAAAATATGGGATGCTCACTTTAATTTGAATCTCAGATAAACAACAGTGCCCCAAATATTGTTTTGAAAATACTACACGGGTTACATACAGAGGAAAAAACAAACAAAAAAATTGTTGTATAGCCAGGTGCTGTAACCCTAGTTGTCTATTTCATGCTTGTAATCCTAGCTACTCAGAAGATTACGATATGAGGATCTGGACAGACAAATCCATGTGAGATTCTTATCTCCCCAAATCCAGCAAAAAACAAGAAGTAGAGACATGGCTCAAGTGGTAGAGCACCAGTGTTGAGAAAAAAAACTAAAGCTAAGGGACAGCGTACAGACCCTAAGTTCAAGCCCCAGTGCTGACTGGTACACACAAACACACAAACCAGTTGTTTACCTGAAGCTCAAATGCAACTGTCATTCTTTTAAACTTTTATTTTGCTAAAATCAAACAACTGTGAGATCATGTTACAAGGAAACATATAACCTTTAAACATTATGCAAATGTGTTACATTTTAATAGCACTAGCATGAACACGTATTGGAGGAACAGAACTAGAGATAATTATATGTACATACCATAGACGACTCTATATGGCACAGGAGAAATAAAACAACAATGAAAACTGGGTAAGAATTCTAAAAGACTCCAGATAATCCACAGGGAAGGAGAATGCACCCCAATTATTTTATTACGTAAAAAACATAAAGGTGGTCCTGCAGGAAGCGGTGCTCTGTGCGGAGGGCTGCTCACCCTGCCCTGCATCTTCCTTGTCCAGTCTCTTATCCTCTGGCCCCTCTCACAGGCCACGCACCACTCAGATCTGTCTCCCACCACAGACAGCATCCCCGAGTGCAGGAGCCCTCTGACAGCTGTGCTCAGAACGCCAGGCCTAAAACCTTTAACCGCAGGGCAGTGGGAAGGTGGATGGGTGGCAGGGGCCTGGGGCAGAATGGAGGACAGGGCAAGGCGAGGGCAGAGGGCACGGAGATTGAGGTAGAACACAGACAAGCAAAACACAGAAAGGATGAGAGGCAGGTGGAGTGTGGACAGGCAGGATGGAAGACGGGACACGGAGGACTGGGACTGAGCATGTATGCGAGGAAGCCGGGGACAGCAAGGAGCCAGCGGCGCTGGCAGCAGGGCGAGTCACATTATGTCACGTGCAGAAGCAAAAGGCTGAGAAAAAGGCAACGTGGAGGGAGAGTTGAAAGGCCCTGAGACCCAGCTGTTCAACGGGGCTTTCGTCAGATGGCCTGAAGTTAAAGCCCACAGGCAGGCATGAG